TAATAACTAAATAATTAATTTAAATATATTAAAAAATTAATTAAGTTAGTTATTATAATAAATGTGTATTGATTTTTTTAAACTACTGTATTCAATCTTATGTATTGAAACTATTCCTTGATGGGAATCATTTACTATCAATAGAAACGTTAGAAAAAAAATATAAATTTACAGAACAAAGTATATTGAGATTTTATATTTAGAATCAATTTAGTTTTTAAACTAATTCTTATATTAGTACTAAGATAACATTATATTCACCTATTATAAATATTAAATTTTGTAGGCAAAAAATTATAAATAATGCAGTTTATATTATAGCAGTAGTATAAAGAATATGGATTAGATAATGGATTTGTGGTTTATACAAATTGAGGTGACGCATACCACTTACTTGCTTTGGTTTGTAACTATAATTCGATTTTCTATTTCATATTATATCCACTAATAAAATCTTATGAAATCCATCCATTCAGCCTTTCACGTTAGTAAAACGAAGTAGTAATTTGCATTACCTAATTTTTTTTGGTTTTTTTTTAATGAGGTTTGTATAGTTTTTTTAATCGGTCATTTGAAGCTACAGGGGCTTGATTAAAAATAAGAAAAAACTATAATAATATAATAAAAAGAAAAAACTACGGGGACATGATTAAAATCAGATAAAAGTATAAATATATGATAAAACTTGCAAGAGCCTGATTTTTAATGAGGTGAAACTATAAATACCTTAAAATTATTTTTTTATAAAAAAATTAGAGTTGTATATGGCAAAACAAAGACATCGGATTATAAAAATAAGATACGCATCTCATAAATAATTAGGAAAGATTCTTAAAAAGCTACTTGAGTAACTCAAATCCCTATTTGGGTTACTAAATTTTTTGAAATTCTTAATTAGATCATATGATACAAAGAGGATCTAAAAATTGATGACATAACTTCAATGCACTATCATTGGAAACGAAACGAGAGAAAGGTTTTCTATCACTCAACAGAATAATTAGAAACTTATGAATTGCGAATGAAAATAGCTAACTGTGTAATGAAACTTGGTAATTTTTAAAGCTATTTTGTGCTTAAACTTTTTTCTATATTTATTGAAAATATTTCATCGGGGATATGTTTGACAGAAAAGAAAGTTGTCAATTTAGAATTTAAACTTGTTAATAACAAAAAGAAAACTTTTGAATTTTTAAGGTTGTATTATGATCAAGTATTAGTCAATACTTATTGCACTTGTATTATGAAAAAAAAAAGTTATTAATTCAGAATTCAAACTTGTTAATAGCATAATGAACCTCGTTAATTTTTAAGGTAATGTTACGATTGACTTTTTGTCAATACTTTTTGCAATTGTGCTATGGATACAGAAAAATTATAAATCTATAATTCAAAATTATTAACAGTGATAGAAGTTGTTAATTTTTAATATTGTATTGTGATTAAGTTTAGTCAATACTCATAACAAGTCTAGCTAAAAGCTAAATATGTTGTATATCTCCAAATATTTTGGTAAGAAATAGGGAGAATTATGATGGGGTTCTCACAAAAATAATTACTAAAAAGTCTAAATAATAACCTAAACAATCTGTAATAACAAGTTTTAAGATAACAAATGACAATTTTTAGGATTCATTTGTAATTATTCTTTTTCTTAGAACCTCATTACAATTCTTCCTAAAAAAAGAGTACTTCCCTGATCCAATACGTAAGAAAAGTTTTTTAGGGATAGCTTATTCTTATTTACAAGAGACATCAATGGCCTATTAAAATGGGGTTAAAATATACTTTTGATCTTACAAGTTTACATTAAATTTGAGTTTAGCCTTTTAAATTTAAAAAGCGTATTTTTAATCCCTTATTCTCAAAGCCGTTACTATTATTTAATGGAAAATGTCTATTAAGCAAATTTAAATGGTGAACCTATGAACTATGATTGAAGTAAACAAACATGCTTTAAATTACTCCTCTGATCCTTAATATAAGACTCATTTAACTAATTATTTGATTAGATTAAGGAAGTTAGGTAAGTTAGTTAATATAAGAAAAATGATACATTTTTCCTAAAACACCATAATCATCTTTCTTAATACCCCCTCTCTTTCTTTTATTTGATTATAGTTGAGGGAATATCCATAGGGGTATTTTAGAGAGAAAATGATAAATATGATAAATGGGTCTTATATTTAGGACCAAATCAACTTAAGAATAGGTCTTATATTAAGGACTGAAGGAGTAATGTTTAACACAGTCATTTTTTTATAAATGATTAAATTTTTTATTTTTCATCCGATATCTAACTCTTCAAACGCAGAAGTTTTAAAATATAAAAATAACAATATTAAAGAATTAAAACTTAGAACAGTTGAGTCAGCATTTAATTGTAGAGTTACACTGTTGAGTCAGCATTTTTATTAAATAAGACTAATTGTGTTAATACTAAAGGATTGGAATTACACTTTTTAAATTCAAAAGACCAAATTAGGATTTGATGTAAGCTTAAAAGAGTAATCGTATATTTTAGACAATATAAATTTTCATTATTATGCCAGTTTTGCTTCCATTAACTATTGGCGAGTCTTACCTTATTAATTCTCGATCTCTTAATGTACAAGGATGTTTTCAGAAATAAATTACATTTTTTTAAATAAATTTGTTACTTTTAACCGATTTAAATTAAATATTTGCAAAAAGAATCAAATGAAGGAACAAATTAAGTCTACAGTGGCTTTTATCAAAAAGGTTGCTATAATGAGCCAACAAAGGAAGTCAAATCCAATCCAAAGTTTGCATAATCATTCAACAAGGTATATATGTTGCTAATAATTTAATTAAGAATATCAACCAATTAATTACTAATTAATAAAGAAAGCATTAATCATTGCACCCATTTGATATTGTGTCTGTTTGGGATCATTAAATGGAAATTCCATGTAAACACGTTTCACGCAAGCCGAAACAAAATTTTTTTACGTATTTATCTCGTATTTGTAAATTACTATTAAAAAACTATTTATAAACTACTTATAAGCTGTTTCAAACGGCCTGTTATTTAGCTAGCTAGGTCTCATAAAAGTATAGCTTAGAGAGTTCCGTTAATAAGTAATCTTTACAGTTGGATCTAGCCGAGTAGAAGAGAGCCCAAATAGTATAAATATGAAGTAGATCAACCCCAACATTACATAATGCATTCATCCAATATTCATCTTTTATTATTTGGCCAAAAAAAAAAAAGCATTCATCCTTTATTTTGTGTCAATAACTGTGTAACTAAACTCTGCATTACTTTGTCCCATGCCTTGGCCAATAAAGTATCTTAATTACCTGTACCTTGTGATTGTTGTGTGTTGTGTGTTGTGTGTCTTTATATATATATATATATATATATATATATTATCTATGTCTTTTTCCCTATAGCTACTTGGTTGCAATCCATCCTGGGCTCCACTTTTTGCTTCAAGTTTGGAGAAATAGTACATGTCAACTGATAAAATTAAATACCAAAGGAATTGGAAGAAAGTTTTTGGGTCATCAATAATTATAAGACATGCTAATAATTTTAATTATTAATTTCTCCTTTTAACCCTTATTAAACGTTTGATGTACAATATTTAATTTTAAAATACGTAAATTTGATATGAATAAAATTAAAAATTATTAAGCTTCTAAAGAGTATTAGTGAGTTTTAACTGAAGAATTTCTAAAATCGATATATCAATATTTTTTACCCAAAGAAAAAAAATCCATCATCAACATCAATATAGCTTAAACATGTAATATAAAAATCTATTAAAAAACACAGTTGATTGACTATTTATTGGCCATAAAACAATATGTTTAATTTTAGATTTTATGAAAGTATAGTGAATCCACAATTTAAATGGAAAAATAGAATGTAATAATATATTCCTCCGATCCTTAATATAGGACTCAATTTTTGAGTTGGTTTTAGTCCTAAATATAAGAGCCCTTTCTCATATTTATTAATTTTCTCTAAATTACCCTATGAATACTCCTTCAACATAATCAAGTAAAAGAATGAGAGGGGGTATTAAGAAAGATGATTATGGTGTTTTAGGAAAAATGTGTCACTTTTTTTATAATTAACTAACTTACTTAACTTCCTTGATCTAATCAAATTAGTTAAATGGGTCTTATATTAAGGACCGGAGGAGTATATTGATTTCCATGTGAGAGCATAATTATTAAATTTTATTAAAATCAAATCTCATATGACTTCTGAGTGATGAAATTAGGTTGATCATAATTAAAATTTGATCAAATTATAAATACTAATAATAATATTAATATAATAGAGAAATAATTATTAGTACTACAACCAACAAGGTTTAGGTTTTAAAAAAATTACTACTCCTCCGGTCCTTAATATAGGACCCAATTGTTGAGTTAGTTTTGATTCTAAATATAAGACCTATTTTTTATATTTATCAATTTTCTTTAAATTATCCCTATGGATACTCTTCAACCATAACCAAGTAGAAGAGAGAGAGAGGAGATATAAGAAGATGATTATGGTGTTTTAGAAAAATGTGTCATATTTCTTATAATTAACTAACTTATCTAATTTTTTTAATTTAATCAAATTTATTAAATGAGTCTTATATTAAGAATAAGAGGAGGACTACTTTTTGCCTACATATGTTTCGAAAATCTGAGAGAATTCCGATGACTTTTGCACAAATATAGAGGGAAAGGGGGGCTCACGGAACACCGTGGTGCTACATGCTGGAAAGTATATCTCACTCACTCATTGATGCGCGTGGGGACCACCCGTTCTTCCCGTGCTCAAATATCAGCCTCTCTCGTACACTATTTATATATTTAGAGCATGACGCTCACTTTTCTAACTTATCTCTTTTCTTTCTTTTTTTTTTAATCTTATATTTTCATCTTACATCAAATAAAAACAATTAAAATTTTTTTTTTAAAAAAATCCTCTCTCTTTCTGTCTCTCTCCCCCCCCCGGCACTGTATGTAACTGTGTAATGACGAGACAAAGCTTTCAAACGCTTCATAAAGTTCAAAAACTACGCGTCCCTTCCTTCTCACAACGATCACCAGCAAAAACCCTAAAACTTTCTCTCTCTTCTTTCGCTTTCTCTCTCTCCCCACCTTCCCCCTCCGCGTTTTCCCGGAATATCCTTTCCTGCTTTTATTTTCCGGGAATTCCGATTCTGCTTTGCTTACTATTACAAATTAACTCACACTTGTCTCCTACTAATTTTTTTATTCCTTCCATGTATGGAAGACAAAGACAAAGCAGCATCATCATCCCGCCCTGCAATATCTCCGACTGAGTTCACCGCCGACTCTTCCAGCTGGGCGCTCGGGCCTGATGACTCTGACGATGTCTATTTCTTCTCTGGCGACCGAAGTACCAGCAGGATGCTCACCGACTTCGGGTGGAATCTCGAACCGGATCAACCGCACCGGATCGGTGTCGATGACACGTCTCAAGTGGCGGGAGGAGAAGGCGGGAGCAGAGGAGGTGGATTGTGGTTTCCGGATCACTCTGCTCCGGGTGGCTCCACGGAACAAGCTGATAAGGCGAACGCGATGGCTGCCGATGCGTCTACATCCAATAATCAATCGGTGTCTTCGAGCTCCAGCGAGGATCCGCCCGAGAAGTCCACCGTCTCAGACGAAAAACCGCCGGAGATACCGTGAGTGGGTTGTTTATTCTTCCCTCTCGTGTGATGAAATTGGTAATTAGGTCGAAATTCAGGGGCATAAATAAACGCAGTCGCGTTAAAATAAACGAGATGTAGCAATCAAATCAGAATCGTATCGAGCTGCGCCTTGTTTGTTTGTGCTTATTTAACTCTGTCTTCCATGGGGGAGAGTGCAATCAACTGTCCGTACAATCTAGAATCTGGCCACACAGGAATACAATATGGAGTATTCTCTGCCAGTTTTTCCTTCTCCTCCTCCTTCTATTATTCTTCTTCTTTCTTTTGGTTGGAGTAAACCGAAAGTTGAGCCGCTTAGGGAAAACAATATTGGGGTCCGAAGAGGAAGAACCAGTTGTCGGGTCAGTCAAAAGTGAGCGCACCAGCGCCGCCGTTATTGCGGCGGGAATGGCGTGCTCGAACCCACCCAAAACTCTGCCGTTTTAGAAGTTTTGTTACTTTACGTAATAGGCATTGTTTGCACAAAAGTAGGAATGATGGGAGAGAAAAATCTAACACAACACATTTTCTATTAGTAGTAATGACGGGCCATTTTTTGGCCTTTATTAACTTGGGGCTTGGAGACATCTACCCTCTATTTTAAGTATTTAAATTTATTTTTTTAAATTAATATCTTAAAAAGTTATCTTTATTATTTAGGATAATGTGGCGGTGCTTAAATGGAGTCTACCATGTTGATCCCCAATTTAATTTGAACATATTTTTTTGGCCTGTGATTTGAATGAAGAATAGCTCAGTACGTATGTATAGCATTGCCCAGTGACTTGATGAAGATGTGTATTTTCTAGTTGAACTGAAGTTTTTAGGTTTTAATGTGGAATTAATGTCTAGAGAATTGTTTTAAATGTGAGGACAATGTGGTGTGCTCTTAAAATAGAGTTTGTCTTAGTTGATGCCCAAAATAAGTTGAAGATATCCCAGTGTGTGTGTAGTATTAACAGATTGTGTCTGCTATGTGATTTGTATTAGTTTCATCATCTTCACTTCAAGAATGCTTGCGTGTGTTTGTTGTTAATTAAAGGCGAACGGCCTCTTCTTTACTTACTTGCATTTCATGTTGGCTATGGCTTAATTAGTATCAGTAACAGTACATATATGGTAAAAATATGCATTTTGTCGTCATCGTTTTTGTCTCTGAATGATATGAGGCTGATAATTGTGTTGGGCGTCTTTTGTAGGTTTCTTTTATGCACAGCATAGTTTCGTTTTTTGCTTTATTAGTGCATACAAAGTTGATTTCTCTGATAATTTAAGATTATGATGGTATAATTTAAAAATTCGCCCGTGCAAAGAAAGCTGATTTCCCCCCATATCTTATCATCAAAGTGGTTGACCATTATATACGGCTACACCGGATTTATTTAAGGATACTTATCGCTTTCACCGACATATAATATATTAATGATATGGAATCTTTATAATAACTTTTATAGCATCCCATTCGATGCATGAGTTATCTTCAATTTATTTACAGTATATTTTATGGGATTACTGTACATTGTTATCGAAGAAGATCAGATTTGATGTTGCCTAAAGTTATCACATGAATATACATCGTTTATGATCAATTTCTTGGTATATATGTTTGAATTTCCAGTACTGTGTTTTTTTTATAATTATTTTGACAAATGTAGGTGGCATATTTTGTAGGATTAAAAGTAAAAAGAAGGGGCAGAAGCGAATACGGCAGCCGCGGTTTGCATTTATGACAAAGAGTGAAGTTGATCATCTTGAGGATGGCTACAGATGGCGCAAGTATGGCCAAAAGGCCGTAAAAAATAGTCCATTTCCTAGGTGGGTACCTACATTTTCTATACAAAGTTAAATTTCATAATGAACCAAAATTCTTGGCTATCTCATTACTCAACCCTTCTGTTCTAGTCTTCCCTTGATATGCCAAATATAATTTGAAATCTTACATGTTCGGAAAGCAGAATGAGGAGGATAAATAATCATGGTAGAGAATAGAATATGACAGATCATGATAAGAATCCTAATGTGCTATTTATATATGTATATATAATGGAGCAGACGTTTAATTTGAATATGAAACTTCTTGCTGATTATTCATATTCTCAACTATGGACAAATATACCATACCTATAATCTTTGTACTGATTAGTCTCTGCAATAGCCAGCGCAGTAGCTCGCTGTACTTTAGCTGGAATAGATAATAATTTGCACAATAATAATGCTTTCTTCACACCTCTCTGGCAACTTCTACAGGTATGTTTAATTACTCAACATGATCTCAAATGGTCTCTCACTTAAACTCTCAGGAGAACTGGTCTAAACGAGACCGACTGAATTAAAATGTAGTAGTGGTACACGTCAATTTTCAAGAAACTAAACAATATTGTAGAAATTACATACGAGAGAATTTAACATTTGTAACTGTACTGTACTGTCAACTGTCAATATATGATGATCCTCCTCCTATGTGCGAATCATGAATGAACTAAATATAGTATGATTTGTTATACATGGAATACTAGCTGGTTGATTGAAGCTAGATAGATATATGTTTTTGGCACATGCAGGAGCTATTATCGTTGCACAAACAGCAAATGCACGGTGAAGAAAAGGGTGGAACGCTCTTCGGAGGACCCAACCATTGTGATAACAACGTACGAAGGGCAACACTGTCATCACACTGTTGGGTTCCCTAGAGCAGCCGGAGCATCAATCATGACCCGTCATGAAGCCGCCGCCTTTGCAGCCGCCGGCCAGTTTGCTCCGACCATGTCACACTTCTATTATCCCATCCATTTACCATCAAGAGACGACACTAACCTTTCTTCTCTGGCCCCTCCTCCTCATCACTACCACCGACGCCAACAGGCACAGGAACATGAACCAGCTGCAAGATCATCCAGCACTGTAATGTGTCCACAGGATGATGCAACCTCGCGGCAGCCTCCCACCGATCAAGGACTTCTCGGAGACATTGTGCCCCCAGGAATGCGTAATGGATGAGGAGGAACATCCATGATGGTATATATATATTTATATATAACTTCTCATATTTATTAATCTATCATCTTTTAATCTTTAAGTTATATATACAGTGTGTGCGCTTAATCTTAAAAAAAAAAAAGGATTTTCCCCCCACTGGGAGGGGTAGGATACTTGTTAATTTTTATGGGTTTTTAAGTAAACTCATAATTATTGTCATCAATTAGAAGAGATATTTCTATGAAAAAAAAGCTTATATAAAATATTTTCAATCACGAACATGATCAACACGTATATGTGGTTTTTTAAATAATAAATTACCATATGTATAATTCTTACAAACAAATGTTTTCATAGTTCAAAATCGCATCATTAAATCAACTTCTTTCAATGAGAATTCTTTGCTTGTGCAACGTCACTAGAATATGTAAAGCAACGATAAAAAGTTTATATCTAAGTGCTGCGATCCTTTTACACATACCCACCAGATAAAACAAATTAAATAAGTTAATCTATCGTAAATGGGTAGGACCTATTCATTATATGTTCTAACACGTGCTTCTACTTTTGACTGAATTTATTTGATTCTATATCTGCATCAATCAATTTCTTCGGGGAAATTAGTTTAAGATTTCACTTTGGCTATGTTGATCTTGAAGTTTATTTATATATATTATCGCTTCAATAATTTCTTTGAATGAGAATAAAAAATTTTGTTGTCTTAAAATTTTTAGAGGGATTAAGAACTTAAAAAAATCCAGAATTTTTAGTATATATTTGTTATGATCAACTGAATTTATTTGATTTTGTTACATTTATCCAACTAAAAGGGAAAATGAGAGGTAGCCATTTTTTGAGTTTTTAAACATGAGTGATCAGTTAATGAGTCCTAGGGCACAAAACTCTAGTTTGTTGTTCATATATGTGTTCTTTTTGCTGCTGTGTGGGCAGCGGGAATCTGGGTTTGCAATAGCATTTGAGAACTGCCTCAGGAAATTGAACACTTTCTAATACTAATAGACTAACAAAAATAATATAGTATCAGAGATCGATGCTCATGATAACGGCCTCAATAACATAATATAATTAGCTTTTGTTGAGGATCAATCAATAACTTGCGCACTGAGTTGCGTGCGGTCTCTGTGTTACTTTTCATAAATAAATTTAAAAAAAAAATGTGTTGGTAATGACGAGGACAGTTGTCAATTTCTAGATCCTCTAGTGTCTATTATTGCCTAGATGGAATCTCCATTGGCCTTTGGTAATCAAATGCTAAATGGGTATTATTTATTATAAATTAAAGGTAGTGGTGTAAATTGATTAGTTAGTAAGTGATCTCTTAACTGATTGATAATTACAACCATATGCCATGAAATTTACTTTTATGCTTTTACTGCTGTGAAATGGATACATATAGAGCTTTTTAATTATGTACTTGTAATTTATGCTGTTAATTAAGTAGTATTGTGTTTACTTGAGTTATTTGAATAAATAAAAATTTATCCGTTTTAGGGTATCAAGGTATGAAATTTGTTTGTAGTAGCAACTCACTAGTTATATTGAAAGATGTCAACCACTTCCTTGTTTGCTCCTTGTGATTTTTTTTTCTTCGCCATCTGGTTTAGGCATTTCGTATTTAACTAAAATGATTTTTTTATGCTGCTGAATTCTTTGTTTCTTTTGACAAACCACTGATTAAATAATTCGAATTTTCAATTACTTTGAGTAAAGTTCTCTGCATGAAAAAAAAAAAAAGAAAAAGAATATAACTCATAAAAGTAAAAATTTTGCAGAATAGGAATATGTTTGAGTTAAGATGCTTGTGATTGACCTGAAGGAGTGGTCATGCGTTATGATTGCCGACAAGCATTTGCCTCTGTGGCTAAGAACTTCTCTGATGGTCGTCTTACTAAAGATTGTGTCAGTGACTCAGTGGACTGCCCTTATCTTGATAACTACCCACTTCCTCATGGATGCTGTCTTGTCATCACCTTGAAAGTTGAAACATCCTTTCTAATTATATATATATAGACACACAAACACACACAATAATTTTCCATTTTTTATCTTTAATGACTGATTTTAAAGCTGGTTACTGTTATTCGTCCTCTGAAACCTTGCAGTGCTTGTTTTACTAGGTGGAACCCTGGTGATCTGTTATGCTTGTTTGCTCACGGAAAAGAAAGCTTAATTCTTTTGAAGTAAACCTTGTGGTATAGGACTTTGCGTGTCCTTTATTTAGTTTACCGTTGTTGTTCTCTTTAGGATTCATTGAATGGAGTCTCTTCTTTCTGCTTTCCCTTTTATGTTAATTGATAGATTGATAGATGCTATGTGTATATAGAAAGATATTTTTAGATTTACAAAGCGATAGCTTTAGGTTTTTAACTGTTTAAACTTTTTGGGAGCATTGGAGAAACTCCCTGGCTCCACGGGAAATTTAACGCAGCATGCACTTATCTTTTTGGGGCAAATCGAGGAACTTTGCGGGGCTTTAGCTGCCTTTACAATGTCAATATGTCTAACATGTACTCTTTTTAGGTGACTTTATATGGGTCACTCTCAAAATTGGAGCATGGCATGCTGCTATATATAGAAGAAGCTAATAATTCTCCTATTTGAGGGAGAAAAAGCAGAATAACAACTTAAGCACATGTTGACATTAAATTAGGTATTTTAAAATTTTTTCGTACTAAAGTATATATAAAAAAAAAGCGTCTGAATTTGTGAATTTGGTTGTGATGAGATTCTGATTTAATAGGGAAAAAATGAGATTATTAATTTAAAATAGAGAGAGGGTAGGGGTAGGCCCTAGCACTCTTTCTCTTCTCTCTGATTCTTTTTCCATTGGGATCCTCTCTGATAGAAGGACCCAGTTTGTACAACCACTCCTTTTGAATTCTGAAGACGAAGTTATGTACAGTCATCTGTACGAGATAATTTCATGCAGGCTAATTTAACTGCAGTTTTAGTGATGCATATGGGAGTTGGGAATAGTTTGGGTAATTAGTTTAATATCTTTATAAACAGGGTCCCAAGAGATGTATTCAATGTCCTGTGGAACAAATTACCACCAGTTTCTTCTATTTTTCTTGTTGAGTTGACTAGAACGCAAAGCAAAACTCATATTCAGTGGAATGTGAGAAGAATGATGAGTTTTACCCCAAAAAAAAAATAAATAAATAAATTTAAAGAGTGAGGGATTTGATGGTTGTGCTAAATTAATAGCTCCCCTTTTCTGGTTAATAAAGAGACGTATGGCGTTAGGTGTGTCTGTTTATTATATATTACTATTCATGGACCAAATTTATGAATGAATTTCCTAACAATGATATAAAAATATTCTTGTATCGAAAAATTTATTAATAAACTGTAAGCTGACAATAATAAGTGTTGGATAACAAACAATAAGAAATGTGCTTGTAATAATAAGTTATTTATTAATAAGTTGTGAACTAATAATAATAAATGTTAAACAACTAATGACAAAAAATATACTGAAAATAACAAATTTGATTGTTTTTGTTTAAAAAAAATTGATATGAAAACATTTTAGTCATTTGATTATATTTGTTAAAATATCAAATCAGACACTACTTCTTCTAAAATTTTAAACTCTTATATACCTATATTAAAATATTGTAATTTTTATCTCTTTTTTTTTACGTCATTTTTTGATTTCATTGAAACTAAGATCTGGATTCTGTCAGTGTAATAATCCAAGGGTAAAATTATACCCAAATCTAAAATTCTAAATAACTGATGGCCTAGCTGGGGTAGGGTGGTGAGAAGTCTGATATATGGAGATGCTGATCTCAACTTGCGGGGTGACCCAGCGAGCACCATAAATGCCTGTGCCCATATCTCCCTCTCTGTGCAAACATGTGATGACCTGACACTGTTCATTCATTCACATATTATTTTGATGGTTCCTTGTCATGGCACTGTTCTCTCATCTCATCAATTCTGTTCACTAATCTGAGTCTCTCTCTCTCTCTCTCTCTCACTCTTTGTTTAACACAGTTTGAAGGGTCAATTATATATATCCTTGTCATTTCAGATCCAGCAGTTGAAGAAGGGCAAGGCCAGTACACAAGGAAAGCCAAACAAAAAAAGGAGAGAAGCAATATGGGTGGATATGCCTTACATTACATTCTCTGAACAAGTAGGCCACAGAAGGCACCCATTTTTTAAGCAGCTCCTAGCTTTTCTGATCTCTCTCTCTCTCTCCCTCTCGAGAAGATCACTATCAGATACCATTACTATTCATGCATGGAAGTCCCATATACAGTACCAGCAGGACTCTAGTACCAGGTAACTCATTTCTGGTCCACCCGAAGCTTAATTTCTGTATAATTCATTTTTACTCAACAAATGGTTCGTATATATTTATTTAACTGTTGGGTTTGTATATATAGTTCACAATTGACTTGTGCTTCAATTTCAAGCTGCTGGGGTATCCTGAAAAACAGTAGTTCATCTCTTGGATTTCTCATGTCATCCCTCTGATCCATAATAAATCATGTTCTCTTAAATTAAACACGCCAACTTTTATATATTCTTTTGTTTAAAACGAAACTATCAAATTTAATCGCTCATTAACTTTCATATTAGATCAGAGAGGGATGGGGACAACTTCTTTTTCGCTTGTCAGCTCAGCTGTACGTAGCTTCACTGTATGGTTACGTGGGATGATTTGGAAATAATGCAAGTTGCTTAATATATTTATTTGTGCAGTGAAATAAATTAAAGGGAGTTAGAATAATATTCTCTCCGGTCTTATTTATAATATTCAAACTTGTGAAAAGGTGCAGTTTATTTTATAAGCCTTTAATTTGTATTTTTCTTAACATTTAATACGTTTTTTTCAATGTTATTTTTAATTATTTTTCTCTTATCATATTGTTTTCATTTTTTTCTCGTTTATTATAAAAGTATATTTAAAAACAAAAACATATTCCTAATCTATTTATTGTTTTTGTTATGTGTGAATTAATTATTTAAAATTTATAATAAAAATAAGGAGTACATGTGAAAGCGATGGAAACAGAAAAGGGCCCAGCGTCTTTTAAATAAAAACGGTGCTTTGGTTTGGCGGATTTGCTTTGGGACGGAAGAGCGCAATCAATTGCGCGGAAATCGAAATTGCTTCAAAGTCGGTACCCTCCTCCACATTGGTTGCTTTGCATTGGCCCAAAGAGAACAAAGGTAAACAAACACACATTAGGCTTTAAAGTCGTTTTTAATATTAAGTATTTTGAAACACTAAAAAAACAGAGAAATTAGTTTTTTGGCCTTGAATGAGAAATTATTTTTGAAAAACTTATTAAAAATATTAGAAATAATTTTATCAATCTTTTTTCATAATCACATCACATACTCCTCGTGTTTTTACGATGAGTTATTTATAGGAAAAAAGTTTGGTCCCAAGATTATTAATGATTATTTTATAATTTTAGTCATATCTAATTCCTAAAAGAAAAAGAGAAAAGAAGAGAGACGTGAAAATGATTTGTAAATGTTGATAAGAAAATTTTTTTTTAATAAGGGTCAACTTAGGAAATTGCATCAGTTTAATAAGGGCGAATTTAGAAAAATACATCAATTTAATGCATTTCTTTGATATGTAAAAAATGAGTTATGAGTGACTTATAATAGATATTAGAATAGTATAACAAACTCTATTTTTGTGAGATTGATGTGTTTAAAATGGGGCATAATATTATGTATTTATATCTTTTCATCATTTTAGAAAAAGTTAAATATCAGTGGAAAATTCATATATTCATAATTAAGAATAGTGCAACTTTAATGTATCAACTAAAGATATGAATGTAACACTTGTAGATGTCGCTTTATTATGCAACTACCATTGTCCCTTTTCACTCCTATCTTTTTCAAATCTCATTATCACAAAACCTCCAACTTGCTCTTTTTTCTTCTATTTAATTTCTCTTCTCTTTTTATTTATTTATTTTAATTTTTTAATCGCTCCTGTCCACCCTTGCCACACTCGCCTAGGGATTCCCTCTTATCTAAATATGTACCACTTTTTTAATATAAGATTTATTTAACTAATTTAAATAAATTAAGAAAATTCTTTAAATTAGTTATTTGTTAAAAATATGTATTAGTTTTTTTTTCAAAATACCATTTTAACTCAGTTACAGTGAAATTATACCTTAATAAAAATTTTCTTAACATGTGTAATCAATAAGAATAATTTTAAAATAAATAAATATGAGAAACAAAATAAATTTAAATATTATATTTAAAATCAAACTCAATCTCTAACTAGTCTTTTATAAATGGTATTATAAAGCTAATATTGTCCAATAGATCATAACCGCACCTTCGATCAAATGGCCCACAACTTCCCATGCCCTGTAAACACCAATATCAATTATTATTGTTGCATTTAATTCAAGCTAATGTTGCAGCGTGAATCATGCCTATTTTTGTTTGTTGCCATAAATAATTGTTTATTTAGGATATGCTTACACATTCACATTTTAAAAATTATTTTTCCATCACATACTTTTGAACCATTTAAAAATTCCAACAGCTAGAATAATAATGAATACTACTATTTAAAATAACCAAGGCGATATTTTTTCCTTAAATAATTTATTATATTGGCAAACAAATCATGCCAAGTTGGCAAGTTGCAAAACCAACACAAGAAATTGAATGGATAAAAAATTGCTTTCCGGGGGTACAAAAAATTGTTTTTTGGCTCAATATACTATCCCGATTATCAATATAAAAACTACCTAATTAATTTGAATAAATAAAAAGAATGAAGTAAATTAGTCAAATATAACAAATATAACATGATCTCTTCAAAATATCCTAGTGTCAGTGTATAACATTAGATTATAAGTCAATTTATAAATTAAATAAATTGCTTAGGGGAAGAATGATAAATACAGAAAACAAAATTAATTAAAATATTATATTTAAGACCAAATCTAACTTTTCGAATGCGTTTTATATTAAGCACTGGAGTGAGTGCTTTTCCCTTCAGAAACAAATAGGAGAATGACACGTAAGGAACAAGAAAGAAAATTAATTATTTTCAAATGCCATCATGTTCCACTCATCTTTTTCTTCTCTTTCCATTTGTATCAACCACAAAAAATCATAAATTACGGAGAAGGAGCAACGTTAAAAATAATAAATAAATAAATGGTCGAAAATGTGCTTATGTGATTGGCAAATATCGCTTAATTGCTAATTCCGGAAGTTGAGATGTAAACCCTGAAAGCTCAATTATAAAACCTTGAAAGATCACTTAGAAATTAGCCTAGTGAATTATAAAAATTTCGTAAAGTCTAAAAGAATAGTTTGTAAATCTTGAATGTTCAGTTGTAAATATTTTTAAAAAAATCAATTGAAAAATAGTTGTAAATTATGGATCAAATTCAAATACTTTAGAGGTCTTACTTATTCTTGTACAGCTAGATGGGAAGAAGGGTGAGAACCAAAGTAAACACTAAAGCCCAAATAAATGTAGCTATTGGGTCGGCTGCGTAGCCCAAGCCCACGATCTAAATGGATTGTGGACAATTCTGTCTTGCCAATGAAAGTTAGGTCTAGCAAAAGGGATTAATTCCTCATAATATGACGAACTAAAATTTGAATTCTCACTTAGAAGTATGTCCACATTTAGTGTTCAAACAGGATTGTCTTTATTAAGAGGATTTGTTACCTGTTGCTAGCAAAACAAAATGTCTACCTTCTGAAGCGACTCACCAAGGATGATACTGTGACCTCCGATGACATTATTCCCTATATTCCCGTCTCACTCATTGGAAAGCTTGAAGGAGCGAATTTGAAATGACGTGTTAACTGTCACTGATAGCATCAAACTTAATTTTCTTTCCTATAAGGATAAGTTACTTCACAGTGAAATTGGGATATATAAGAAAGAGATGAAAGATCAAAGAGTTTTCCGCCTAACAACCAGGACCATCTTTTACTCTGTCTAAAGAGTTTGGAATCGAATCATGTTGTTTTGAACTCTTAAGAGATACCAAGAAAAAAATATGGACTGAATTTGACCGATTCAACTTAAAAACCGGCCAATAATCCAGTTTGGTTCGTGCATTAAACCACGCAGGAGTTGAACTAGTATCAAACCAATTAAACTGGGGGTAAACCGGTATGAATTAGTTTGAATGATTATGTTACTATTAGTCTTTTTTTTTTTTCTTCTCATATCTCAGTCACTGTAGACTTGAAATGAATTTTAATGATGATTTTTGTATCAATGATTATTAATTTTAGTTATTAATAAATCGTAGAGATCAAAATTCTTAATTTTGTTGTACTTTGTTATTGTTATAATCAAACTATTGTTATATTTCCTTATATCTTATTATTAGTGATTGTTAATGTTATATTTTGTTATTTTCAATTAAATTATATCATTTTAATATAATCGGTTTGACCATGAGTTGACCCCAATCTGATCAACTGACCCTTGAATTATTATCTCAATTAATTTGGTATCTAGTTCGGTTTTTTGTTTCTTGAGAGATACTAGTTAGGCTAACATAAGTTTTCATCATTCAAGTTCTTTCAAACAATGGCTTAGTAATACTACTTGCGGTCATAAATATAATATGTAGTTTGTATAGTAACAAATAATATTACTTCAAATCCTAGTTTAGGACTAGATGTAGTATTATTTGTAAGTCACAACATGACGATATTTCTATATTCATTAGGGAGTTATTGAGTCATGTTCTCCAACACAACACAAGATGGGACATTAGTAATACCTAATGAATTACCTTCTTTAGGTTGGTTCAAGAGTAATGTGATGGTTCCAAACAAACACTTACCCTGGATAATATCGAGTAGTTCAAATTCAATCATCAATTCATCATTTTACAAAAAATAAATCTAGCATAGTTCAACGTATTGCTTAGATTTTACCCTGTATTTATATTAAATTTGGAATGTAATGGACATATTTCTTCAGCTATATGTGGCTTTCAGAGAAAATTATTCACTTCAACAAAATAATATTATGTATATAATACTTCTGATTCTTAATATAAGAGCTAATTGATTATTTTCAGTATATTAAAAAAGTTTGTTAAGTTAATTATTTGTAATAAATAGGTGCTATTTTCCTTATAATACTCTTGCCAATCATGTGCATTAACTAAAGTCACAATTTGATAGAACATTTAACATGTGTAACTACTACAAAGACTATTTTAGAAAAATAGATAAACATAAGAGACAAAGTAAATTAAAGTCCTATATTTAGGATCAAATTGAATATCAAATTAGTTTTTATATTAATTACCAACACTAAAGACCAGAGACCAATATTAAGGACTAGAGGCAGTATTTCTTTAGAGTGAAACTTTCACTTCAACAGATAAGATGGATAAAAAATCAAAGGTACTTGCAAAATGTGGGAAAGAAGTGATAACTAAAGCATACAATTAGACAAAGATCTGTACAGCTTGGACAAAATTCCAAACTTAAGCCAGCCTTTTTTGAGCAATCAGCATATTATTCTGCACCTTGGGATCAATGAGACTTCCACTTTTTGGAGGGTCAGAAACTACTAATCGCCTTGTACCATATTTACATGTTGCATCACCGTTCTCCAAATTTTTCTTCCTCCAGAGGATCTCGCATCAAGGCAATATCCAGTCTTGCCATGAATAAAACTGAAACTTTTCCAGTGAATGGTAGGATGGGGCTCTCAACTCATCATAAAATATCTGATCTGATGTGGTCCAAAATATAAGACCAGAACCGTCTTATCTTATACAGTTTAACTTTGCTTTACATCAACTTTGTTCTGAGAATTGCTTTCATCACCTTCAATTCAATCTTGATCAATAAATTTGCAGGGTGTGGGATAAACCAAGGGAATATTGCTTTGAATATGCATCAGGCAATGAGAAATCCTTTTTTTTTTTTTTAATAATCAGACCCTGCCATGAGCAATAGTGCTGTTGTGGAATACTCCTGCATGAACGAGACACAAAAATCAAATAGGTCCAACTGATGCATATTTTAATACCAAACCTTCTTAACTGTTAGCAATGAAATTTTTGAAAAAAGATTGCTAATGCAACTATTTTGGTATCTAAGAGGGGTCAAAGAAGATACTGAATTACTGAAGAACAATCAATACACCGATATAGCTTCTCTAGGGAAAATGGAGAACTACTTGTCATCAGCAGCTTCTGCCCATATAACTCTTTATTACCTACGCATTCTTATAAAAAGAAAAGGGTTAATACAAATTTTGATCTCTCAAATTTAAGCCCAATTTGATTTTAGTTCCTGAAATTTAAAACGTGTGGTATTGGTCCCTCAAATTATGTCCGTTTATGTCTGTTGATCCCTGGCTTCTTGGCACCGTTAAATCCTGCTGATATGGAATTAACACCGTTATGTGCTGAGTTGGACCACATGACCTGGTAATGAACCGCTGAGCTGGCATCCTGGTGTCACGTTAGCTGGAGATGGACTGAAAAAAGAAAAAAAAAAGGGGGAATCAAAGGCAAAACGCAGGGGACGACGGTGGAAGAAAAAACAAAGGGGAAAGGGTTTAGATAGAATCTGCACGAGTGGAGAAAGGAAACAAAGATCCGGTGAAGGCGAAGGCAACAAAGATCCGTGAAGGTGACAAAGAGTCAGCAAACGCGACCTAGATCCGCTGAAGGCGACGAACATTCGGCAAACGCAGGTAAGGATGATTGGTGTTTGGTAGGTTGTTGATATGGGTTTTCAATTTTTGCAATATCATATCTCTCCATCTCGTCTTCAACATCTAATTCAACTTAGGCTGTAGTCAGGTGGAATGGGGTCAAGCAGGAACTCGTCATCGTCGACTGTGGCTAGAAGGATGGGAAAAAGAGGATTTGAAAAATGCAGATGTGGGGACGATCTTGTGGTTTTCACTTCATGGACTGAACAAAATTATGGTAGAAGATTTCTTAAGTGACCAAATTACAAGGTTAGTGGCTGATAAAATTTTTTTGTCACATTTGATTGAGTTATTGGATGTTTGGTGGGTTGTTTTTGTTTGATGGCCTCTGGAATTACCTGGCTTTCAGGAGCAATGGTCATGCAATTATTTTGATTGGATTGATGCACCGGTTGAGAATCCAATGTTAGAGGAGTTGAAGAAGATGAAGAAAGATGGTGATGATATGAGAAGGAGGATGAAGAGACTGGAAGGTGTTATATTTGTAGTTGTTATGGTGAATGTATTGTTGTTGTGTAAATTGCTGATGTAGCAGAAATTGAGTGGGATGCTTGTGTAATTGTGGTTGGAATTAACTTGCACATTCGGTCATTCCCAGATCTGGAAAACATGTACTGACATTTTAGGCGTCTGTTTGATTGAGTAAAAGTTCATTAATCTGGAAGAGGCCTTTATTGGTCATTGAGTTGAATGTTCTCTGATCAGTTCGCTGTATTTATTCTAAAGAGAATTATGGCAGCAACATTTCCTGTGTTAACAGAAAGCAAAATGACACTTCGAATGTGGTAGGAAGAATAATAAGAGTTAATTTATTGATATCATGCATCGGATTGGTGGCACGCCCAAAAGTGCTCTCCCTTTTAAATCATTCAGCTCGCTGTAAAGTTGGTAATAATCAATATAAAGAATAGTTTTGTTTCTTTTTCTTTTTTCTTTTTTGGTTGACCGAGGGTATAAAGAAGGGTGGTCACTGTGCATAGCAGACGCGCATGACACTAACAGATACGCATGACACTCACATTCTTCTTTGACCCGCGGTATAAAGAATAGTATAATGTACATGTATATATTAAATTCCTTCGTGTAATTCTTTTTGTTTGGTAGAGATTCCTTCGTCTAATTCTAAATATAAACCATTAGTTATTTGAAAAAAGTTAATTAAACCATTAGTTATCTATAATAATATTTGTTCATTTTATTAGTGAATAACTTGAGGGAAATTTTACATAACCGGGAGCCAGAACTGATTAAAATCTTATACATGAGACTGAAGCAAACACCTTAGGTAACTTATATACTTAAGACAGGAAGACACATCTATCTATAACTTATATACTTAATATATACAATTATTTCCTTTTGATAGGAAGACACCTTCATCCATGATTTTGAAGGTCACAAATATATCCAAAATATGCTGCAAACTAAAGTGATAAACATTTTGAAGGTCACAAATATATCCAAAATATATAATTACACAAGTGACAAATAGTCCGACAATATGCTTCTTATGTAAAGCCAAAATACTTCCAAAACATGCTTCATTCATGAAGGCACAATACTTGCTCTATATGCTTCCCATTGCAATTTTTAATGTCAAGGTTGACTGCTACCCGGAGGAGTTGCAACAATTGACTCTTGAGTAGAAGATGATTGCTTTCTCTTGATTGGAAGCTTGTTAGGTCTAGTGGGTTGCTTGCAAGTCCGCCGATTGTGTCCTTGTTTTCCACAATTAGAGCATAAGAAGGTGCGATATTGTCGCTTCTCATGTTCTGTCTCAGCTGATTGTTGTTCGTCCAATCCTTTCTTTCGTTTTTTTGTTGGCCTTCCAGGACGCTTGTGATATACGAGAGGTTCAATGGGCTCACCATCAGCTTTCTCCCACAATGCTTCACCATTGATTGGCTCAATAACAGGTGAGTAACACGCAACAAATGATTGCAATGTTAAATACTTGTTCACATAATCATGTGAATCCTCCCTCTTGGCATAAATACAAGCAGCTGCATGTCTATAACATAATTAATGCTCAGAATTCAAGCAATAGAGGGAAAAAACAGATTTACTATGAAATATAGACAGCAAGCATATATAATTTTACCTGCATGGGATTCCATTTAGTTGCCACCAATAACAACTGCAAGTTTTGGCGGTGAGATCAACCTTGAACTTGTGAGTATTGAATGACACTTCATACCGGTTGTTTCCCGCATATCTAGCCTCCCATTTTCGACATTCTGCAACTTCTTTGTCCAATCACTTGCGAGGTCGCGGACACACAATACCCTTATCACGGTACTTATCGGCTTTGACACGATTTTCTGCAAACCGAGTCATGAGATATGTCCGAATCCAATCAAGCAAACTAATAATTGGAAGTTCTCGTGCCTCCAGTAATCTTCCATTAAAAGACTTCGTGATATTGTTTGTGATCGTATCGCATTTACTGTATGCATCAAAATGAGACCTGTTCCAACAACTTGGAGGGATTGCCATCAAATGATCATGAGCTCCGCTACAAATAGCCTTCAACTCATTCATACGGTCTCTCTAATCAGATTGCACGGTTGCCTTTGCAGCACGGAGAACTAAGTCACAAATAAGAGTGCCTCCTCCATATTTGACCTTGATATTAGAATACAAATGGCGCACACAAAATCTGTGTTCCGCACCTTCTAATAATTCTTCAAATGTTAGTACAAGACCCTGCGCAACACAAGCCACAACTAAGAATCTACACAACACAAACCGTAAGTATATTCCACACCTTCTATGTAAATGACAACTTCATACTAAACCAGTCCGGATCCAAAAAAATTTGAATTTGAATGTGAACCCTTTTTACCACATGTGAGTGACAGCTAGATACTAACCTTGATGACCTAATATATTTGAATCTGAATGTGAACCCCTCTTGCCACGTGTTGGGAAAGAAAAATAAAAAAATGGGTGATGAACAACTGAAAGCATGCTCGGTCAAAATATCTTTTTATATACTATGCTTCCGTGACCCAAGCATGCTCGGTGGAAAAAGTAATATGCTTTTGTTTATTCTGTAACTTTTTGGTCCACCATATAAAAATCATCAAAAGCTGAACAAAAAACCTTAATTTAACTATCACAATAATTTAACATACAAATAATCCAGAATCTATATGATACAAAGAAAAGGTAAAGAAACTGTATGATACAAAAAATTTAAATATCACAATCGAAGTTTCATGTAAAGAAATATTTGATACATTTAAGATACAAATAATACAAAAAAAAATAAACTTACTTTTTGCTGGTCTGATATAAATACCCATCTCCTTTCCTGCATACTCCCAATGTCATCGAACAGATTTTTCAAAGACCATGTCCATGAGTCTCTACTTTCTGAATCAACCACAGCCCATGCTAATGGAAAGTACTGGTCATTAGCATCACGTCCTACAGCCACAAGTAATATCCCTCCATATGGACCCTTTAAGAAACACCCATCTAACCCAATGATCAGTCTACAACCCGCTACAAAACCTCGCTTCACAGCACCTATGCACTCATATAATCTCTTGAAAACAGGAGGATGATTTACGCAAGACTGATCAGTAAGTAATGCAAATGTTGTTCCTAAGTTACATTTCCTCACTTCATCACAATAATCTCTTAATTTATGATATTTCTCCTTATAGTCACCATCAATCAACGCCTTGGCCTTTTTTCTAGCCATGTAGGCCTTCCACACAGAAACATCAACCATGTAGTGTTCTCTCACTGACGCAATTATATCCGCCAACTTGATGTTTTTGTTTCTCTTCATGATGTGAACTATCTTTTCTGCAATCCACTTGTAGCTAGCATTCTTTCCTTTTAAGGATACCCCACATGTATGTTTTGAGTGTAATGTCTTCAACCGATATGTTAACTCACCTCTCACTTGGCTCACAAACATTAACCACTTGCATTCAACATGTGCACATTTGACCCTACACCTCACCTTATCATTCTTCACAAATTTGATTTCATATCCATGGAGCAAGGCATACTCTCTAACTGCATCTTTAAACTGACCAATGAAAGTAAACTCCATACCTAACACAAATTTAAACTCTTTGCACATCTCTACCGGATTATATCTTACTCTGTTAACGTTGCCTTCTCCTTCATCGTCTTCTTCACTTGATCTTTCACTTTCATCAATTCCCTCTGACTCATGATCAGATAACAGGCCCAATATATCTTCCTCCCTTGCCTTAACAACATTATTTTGTCCTCTACCATCAGGTTCGGCTCTCCAAAATTCTGAACTCTCTACAACTTCTTCTAACACATCATTTACTCCCACATCTACATATTCTGAAAAATAATTATCATCAATTTCCTCCTCTTCACTGTTCTCAAAGTCTGAGAACACAGACCCTGATTTTGTTTCGCTCCCTTCCTCCCCACCAGTATCACATCTATCACTTTTCCCTTGCTCCCTATCCATATTTAACCTGTCACGGCAAAATAGTAAACTAAACCACGACAAGATGAAACAAAACATTACATAACATCAGTCAACATGATATCAAAATTAATTTAACAATAAACAGAGCACAATGTAAGCAATGCATGAACCACACCCATTGTTCGGCAACAACATTGTACCCACAGACCATATCATCGAAATGAACAGCAACATAAACAAATTATACACGATTGTGCTCTGGTTTTGTTTAACACTGCCCACGGACACTCATCAAAACAGAGCACCAATGGGTTCAACTAACACAAATCAAAACAGCACACCCACAGACACTGACCACAGATTGCATGATGAACAAGATGGGACTTTGAGTTAGTTGAACTCAAATGCACAATGCAACTCCAATGTCACCACTATTTCGAACAGATTGCAAGATGAACAGGACGGGACTTTCAATCAATATATTTAAAGGTTCATATTTGTAGCACTTATCCTTTGACAACAGCGATGCGAACACAATGGTGATCAACAGTGTCTTCCTCGCCTTTCAACGGAAAAAAGCAAATGAATATCAGTTATAAACCTTCTTACCACGACGGCCGCCGGTAAAAGCACTTTTCCGGTGACGCCCATGTCAGTAATCGCCGGCGACGAGTGGGTCCTCTTGACCTAGCACTTTCCCCTTTTTTTTCCCTCCACAAATCGTGTTTATCGTTATGTTTGTCGTCCCCTGCGTTTTGCCTCTGATTCCCCCTTTTTTTCTTTCTTTTTTCGGTCCATCTCCAGCTAACGTGACACCAGGATGCCAGCTCAGCGGTTCATTACTAGGTCATGTGGTCCAACTCAGCACATAACGGTATTAATTCCATATCAGCAAAATTTAACGGTGCCAAGAAGCCAGGGACCAACGGACATAAACAGACATAATTTGAGGGACTAATACCACACGTTTTAAATTTGAGGGACCAAAATTTGTATTAACCCAAAAGAAAAAAGAAAATTTGTTACCTAAACCTAGTGAGATAGAGTACATAAACTAATATTACCCCAGATTTTGACAAGAGATTGATCATATAAGGCATAAAGGAGAAAAACTGTTATATTATATGCCACCCCACCATCCAGTTACATGAAGTGCCAAATAGAAAGGAATCTGCTATTTATGTAGTTTGTGCACTGCTATACACGTTATCAAAAAGATATGATGAAATGATCCATAGAACATTGAAAATAAATATAATTTTACATAGAATAAGCTGAATATAACAATAAAAGAAAGGCAGCTCAGTACCTGGATCAACTCTGCTAACTCAATTCCCATAGTCATCTTCCAGCACATAAAGAAGTTTTTTGTAAGCACTCCCATCCACAAGGTTCTTCTCTTGAAACTCCTGCAATAACCTCATTGCCTCCTGAACTCTTCCTTGTCTACATATCTCATCCAGTATAGTCCTATAAGTAATAAAATCAGCTGACCTCTGATTTTCAGTCATCTCCCACACATATTCCACTGCCTCCTCAGTCTCTCCACCAAGTGCCAAAGCATTGACCAGTGAATTATAAGATTTACTACTTGGGATTAAGCCTGCGGTCTTCATTTCATTGCATATCTCTTTAGCATTCTTCGTTCTTCCTTGCGCACACAAGCCATGTATCAAATAATCATAGGTAAAAGAGTTAGGCTTGCAAGCATAAACCCCGCCCATCTGATGGAATATCCTCAGCGCATCATTAACATGGAGAGAAAGCACATAACCTTTGATCATGGAATTTAAAGTAAATATATCAGGCTCTACCCCATCATTGACCATCTGCTTAAACAGACACCTAATAGTGTCCATATACGCATGATTTATGTAAGAGTTGCTTCCTCTGCTCAACAGTGCTGCAAAAAGGATATTATAGGTTCTGATAGAAGGTTTGCAATTCGAATTTCTGCTACTTTTCATGTGGTTGAATATATTGACAGCTCGAGTCAACTTTCGAGCTTCTGTGAAATAATATATAATGGTATTGTAAAGTGCCTCTGAACAAATTAAAGGAACTGCAAGCACTTGATTGACAACATCATCCATTTCTTGGTACATTTGTGCCGCACCGAGCTTCTGGATGGTTATGTGATAAGTGGTGGTGTTGTGCCGAAACCTGGATTGTTGTGATGCCCAATTAAAGAGCTCCAAGCAAACTAATGGGTCTTCTTGAAAAGTAATAACATTACAGAGTTCCTCAGGAGTAAACCTTGGGGAAAGTTGGGACAAGGCCAATTGAAATTGGGCCTGATCTAGAGTAGGCTTCAAGGATTTTAACAGTCGCTTACGAGCTCTTCTTCGAAATGACCTTGAAGGTGGCTTGGTTGAATAATAAACAATGCAAGAGGGCGCATGCAGGGCTGGAGTTGTTTTAGAAGAGATTTGGGAAAAGGGTCCAACTTTATGAGTCTCAAAAACAGTAATCCTAGAATTTTGTACAATGGGACTATTGAGCAAAGCTGATTCATGAAATTGTTGCCAAAATGAGTTTGCAAAGCATAGATGATTCAAAAAGTTTCTAATGGAGCAGCTACCATGTTTCAAGCAATTTCTACCAAAAGAATACATTTCTTTCACTGTCAAATAAACCCTATTTGCTTACCAGCAAAGCTAGAGATTTCCTCTTCTGTCGCCTTTCCACTTTGAGGATATTCCTGAAATTGACACAAACATCAGATTGTATGATCAAATACACTCTGAATGGTAACAGGGGCGACAACAGGGCTGGTTTTTTAATTGCCTTAGAACCAGAATTTCAGATCTAGGGTACTTTGGTAAGGTTCTGGGTGGTTGGAGTCTGGACCTGGGGTGGCTGGAGGTATGGGTGTGGAGGCGAGTCCAAATTACCTGCTCAGCGAATATATGAGCACCAGAAGCCCATCAACTAGACGCACAGTTTTCGTTAGTGAAAGAATGATAGGCCATTTCCATACTCCATCCTCCAAATTCCCCACTTAATGGAAACGTGGCTTCGCCCTTTAAAGTTTACACTATTATATTGTCCTTCACCGAGGCAGCCAAACCTGGCTTCACTGTTGAATTCATACACTGTGACACCCCAAAATCGCCATTTTACAATCACTCCCAACCATTACCATCTTATGATAAAGTGAACAATGCTGTCTTGACCAAGAAAAAGTGAACAATGCTAAGCGTTCCTTCCAACGTGTGAATAGTTTCTGATCTAATGTTGAATTAGCTCTTTACGATGATATTGGAACTGATATAATTATTAGCAAAGGACAATACCATACGGAATGATCCATAGGTACTCCAGCAAAACCAAAATACGGCATCATTGACATAGGAAGTAACCTTATTTAGTTACAGTGTATACTGAGCTTAATGGGAATAGGAGGGAGGAGGCAGCAACTGAACAGAATAGCAGAGGACGAGGGGTAAATACCACAAATAATCCCACTCATTTGGATTTTCTTACCCAGAAATAGAAACCCAAAAACGATCCAGTTCAATTTAGAACGACTGAGCCTTACCGAAAGAAGATGCGATAGGAAAGCAAATGGGAAAATTCAAGCTATGTTTGCATAAAGCTTCATCAAGAAAACGAGTTCTGTTGACACTACAAATGCAAACGTTAATCACCTGAGGCCACCATGCATCAGTCACCGGAGTTTCACCGCCGTTTCCATATCTACCCTTTCGCCCCTGCGCATCTCGTCTTCACAGCGCTGGGTCAGAGTGAAGCGAAGGGAGAATCCCAACCCAAAGTCCCTGATTATTATTATTATTATTATTTTATTAGTGAATGGCTATGATCATTTTACAGTTAACAGGTGAGATTGGTCTGTTTCATCTGGACGACGTCGTTTGCTGTTTTTGGGGATACAGCTGGACGACGTCGTTTAAAAGATCAGCCTCTGGTTCCCACATATCGCCATATCGGCTCAACATGTAATGCGGACTCGACAGAAGCGGGTCAGGATATTGTGGGTGTAGGCTGGGCTTGGGCCCTTGATTTTCACCAAAAGAAAAACTATTTTTCTTTTGTAAAGATAGAGTGCATACACAAGTTTTTGAGAGAATCTCAAAAAAAAAAAAATCTTTAAAATTTTAAAATCTTAAATAAAAAATGACTATAAAAATATTTTAAAATTTAAATATATTTTTTTTGAATTCTTCCCAGATTTTTCTCAAGTTGAAAAATGGGAGGAAAATATCTTTGACGGAAGTATTATTTTTCTTTTGAAACCATATTCCTTGGACTTTCTTCTATGATAATGGGGAGAACAATACTTATATCAAATTATTTATATACATTATATCAAGTTCTCAAATTAAACATAACCATGTGTTATATTTTTAAAATATTAGCATTTAATAATATTTATTATAAATTCGCATAAAACCAAAAAGGACACATGGACATGTATCATTAGAAAATCTGACATAATAAATATAAGAAACTTGTTCTAAGTTTTTTTTCCTAATGGGAATTGATGATTACAGTTTATAGATTTATTTAAGATTCATTATTTACAAAATTATAGATGTTAATGAGAATGGATCTCATGTCACCGCCAAAAAATAAACCAAGCAAATGAGAGGAGAGGTTGAACACGATGTAATATAGAGTGTTTGGATCTCCATTTGGAGTGAAAAACGCACTTAGTAAATTGCGCGACGCACGGTGTAGGGTTATTTGGGGAGAAGTACTTTTTTGGTATAGCATTTATGCAAATGAACTTTTGATTCTACTGTGAAGTGATAGTGAAGCTATTTTATGTTGCTTTGAAGGTGTGTTTGGATTAGCAGTGGAATTAATAACTTTTTTCAATCTGATTTTTACAGAAGTCAGATTGAGTAAAAATCAGATAGTATGATATGATTTATGTTTGGATTGGGTTTTGTAAAAAAATTAATTTGAGAAGTTGAAACATGTTTGGATAATAAATGTAAAAGTAAGTTTGGATACAAAATAACTTAGAAGGACATAAATTTTATTAAATAGTACATATCTAATATTAGATATATATAATGTGACCATTTTAAAAGAAGTAATAAAAATAAAATTATTAAAAATAAAGAAATTTAATTTGTTATTAAAAAGAAATTATATATATAATGTGACCATTTTAAAAGAAGTATTGAAAATAAAAATATTAATAATTAAAATTTTTAATTTATTATTAGAAGAAAATTAAAAAAATACTAAAATATTTAATTAAATATATATATAAATTAGAAATCATACAAATGTATGTGTATATATGTAACGGTATTCCTCTAACACTCCTTCCACCGAAAAATAGCATAATTGAGCTTATTGCATAAGTTCATTCAAAGGCAGAAGTCAAATACATCTCAACATGGGCCCAAACATCATTTTTGAATCTGTCTCTTGCTTCTCCGTAGGGGTGTTCAAAGCGGCCCGTCCGGTCGGCCCGTTCCGGTCCCGGTCTTATTGGACGGGAGGATCCGTCCCGAAATTTTTCGGGACGGGACAAACCGGGACGGGACGGGACACGGGACGGGGTCGTCCGTCCCGGTCCCGCCCCGGTCCCTTTTTTAAAAAAAAAATTAATTTTTTTAACTTTTATATAATATCATTTTTTTCATATTTTTTTAAGATTTGAGACTATTGTATAGAACTATGGATATATTATTTGAGTTTTTATATTTGTTAATGATTTGAGATTATTGATGATTAGATTTTTTAGCAAGTTTTTATTGTGTTAAAAGCTTTTGTTTAGAGTTTTTAATAACTATTATATGTAATATTTTGAGCTTTTTGTTAAAGTGCCCAAACAAATAAAAAAGATGTTTTTATAAGATTTAAGCTCAAAAAAATATAATTAAAAAAATCAGATTTTTTTAAAAAAAATTAAAAAAAATAAAAAACAATATATTTCGGTCCCGGTCCCGTCCCGAATCCGTCCCGTCCCGACCGGGACCGGGACAACCTCGGGACGGGCCGGGACACGGGACAGAAAATCTGTCCCGTTACTGTTCATCGGGACGGAACCGGGACGGGCCTGTCCCGGTCCCGATCCGTCCCGTGAACACCCTTACTTCTCCGGTTGGGATGCATGTTTGAGGGTTCAAACGTAATCTCAAACACGCCTTTAGAGAAAAAAGCTCATTCCTACGAGAAAATAATCCACAAGAGATACAAAGAAAAAATGAGATCGATCTTGCTCTATAAAAAAAAGAAAAGATAAAATTTCTTTGAAAATACTCCAATAACTTGATATTTACAACAGTACTTTAAGAAGGAAAAAATAACTAATGAAATTTAATGATGAGAGTCGACTACAAACCCAATCGATAACTATAGTTAATTTTCAATTAATTTTTAAAAATTTCCAAAGAAACAATAAAACATATTCAATAGTCATGTATATAAAAACCACATTAAATATATCTAATTTTTTAGTGTTTATAATTTTTCTAATAATAAATAATTAACTCTTTATTTTTATACTTTTAATTTCTCATATATTCGTCAAATATAATATATATATTTATATATGAATATAGGTACTTAATAAAATTAATGTCATTTCCTGTCACTTTATATCTAAATTTGAGTTTTCAAAAAAAATTTCATTATAACTTAAATTTTCTATTTTTTCATAATTTTTATTTTAATATTTCTCCCAAAATTATGCCATTATAACAAAATTTATATCATTTTCAGTTATTTTATATCTAAACTTGCTTTTTCATTAATCATCCAAACAAGTTTCAATATGTCAAAATAATTTTTTTTATAAAAATCAATCCAAATATAAATCATATTACATTAACTGAATTTTATCTTAACTTATATTTACAAAAATCACATAAAATAAAAGTCACTTTTCACGCCCACAATCCAAACATACCCGTGATTGGTTCCATTAAAAATGATCGGTTCATCTATTATTGCATACGAAAGTCTAAGGAATATGATTTCGGAAGAAGAATAATATTTCCTTCAAAAATATTTTCCCCCATTTCTTAATTTGAGAAGTTTTAAAAATATTTATTTATTGGTCAAATAGAAACAAGTAACTTGTCCAACTTATGTGAACACGAGATGACATACTCTCAGAAATTTTAGAGCATAACTTTGACAATTACTACTGCTTTCATGAGATAATTCTAATTATTGCAAACAAATTAAACAGTTTACTCTTCAATCAATTACCTTAATTTTAGCCACTTTTCTCTCTTCAAACCCATATTTGACCAGCAAACTTGGAATGAATTAAGTGATTGATATTGAGCCTCTAATATTAAAAATATTTTTTTAAGTTTTAATCCAACTTAAAGTACTTAGCCAACCGCAATCCTCTCAACAAGATTTTAACACAAATTTACAAAGATATCATTTCTATTAATTGGCTAAGATAACTAACTTGCTGATTCAAAGTAGCAATATACCCGTACAAATCTTTATATAAAAAATAGCTTTGACTATTTTTAACATGTCTAATAAAAAGTGTTGAATTACAAATATCTAATTTAGTTTATTTGTAGCCTCTACATTAACAGTCTCCTCGAGTTGATGACAATTATTGTTTTCATATATTTTATTTTCTTATTTTCAGATTTTAATTTGATCTGATTTATATAAATTTAAATTAATTATGCAGTTTAATTTAAGACCATCCATTTAATATTATTATAAAATATACAAATTTATATGAAATTGGTCGTCCTCAAAATTTAACGTCAGTGCTAAAGATACTAAGAAAGTGTTTGGATAGAAACCAAACTATGACTTTAAAAATGATTTTATGATATACGAAGTAAATATATAAAGGAGTTTATCTCAATTTGTGAAAAAATGCTTTTAGAAAATCCTTTTGGCAATAGCGAAACACCTCCTAAATTGAAATTATTCACTGGTCATTAACAATAGTACCAGTGGAGAAGAAACACAAATAAAAAACAGAAGAAAAGAGGGTAGTTTGTCGATAAAAAACAGAAGTAATATCATATAATTTAACAGTCCCTTATAATATTAAAATAATATTGTTATGGAAGAAGCAAAGGGTTAGCTGAGGAAAGGGGAGAAATGATTTTTAAAAAAAATAAAAAGACGGATTTTCTTAAAATGAAATATTTGGTTATGAAGTATGAACAAGATAATTTGTAAGTTACAGAATAGAAGGAAAATTATTAGAACTTGGACAACTAAGTACAGTTATATTCTACAAAAGTGCTGTTAAGTTAAAGTAAAAAGGGCTATGATGATTGATGCAGATTAGTGTTTTCTTAGCAGAATTATTAGTACTATATTGCTACCTCAAGTGTTAGGCAACCTTACAAGTTTCATCCACCTCAATATTCAACATTCTGATCTGTGTTATAAATAAAGTTTGTTACTATTAATTATCCCAAAAGATCAAATCTTCAACATCTAGAGTATTAGCCCAACCACTTACTTTCCCAGCAGCTTTTCAATCCCAATGACTCACATCAGCAATTACCAAAGAGCACTGAAAAAATTCCTTACTATATAAGTCTCTGAACCAAACCAATATCAGCAGCCTCCTCTTTTCTCATCGCAGACTTTTGAGGCTTCCTAGGCTGTGCACATGTCACGGACACAATATAGATTGACCTCAATCTGGAATCTAATGTTGGAAATAAAGTGGCATTCTCTTACTGTTCCTAAATTGGACCAAACAACATCTGTTTAACCACTATGTTCAACCTCTATTCTCAAGTTGGATGTAAGTCACAAGTAATTGAGAGTGTGTTTGGAAAAGGGTTTAGAAGGTCAAATGCATGCTTATCAAACCGTAATACTCTGATTCTTGATTTTTTTTATTTTTTATTTTTTTTTGCATCTCGTGGATGATATTGAAGTTGACATTGGGTTACTCAAATTGTTTTAACTTTTTCTACATATTTCAACTATTGATATTGTCTCATATAAG